CACAAAGGTTGCAGACTTTCCTTACAAATCATCTGTTCTGCCAGGACACAAAATACAATGGCTAGATCTGAAGGGCTTTCAGCTTTATGTTAACCTGGATTTCATATGAAACGACCAAAAAACGCATACTGGGACAAAAACGAGAAAACATGAACATTTCAGCAAATATTCCTCAAATCTTTGAAAATGTTTCCAATCAAAATTTTGAAGTTAGAAATTTAGATTAGCCCCAGGTATAACAACCAGTTCAGCCAGTAGTGAATCATAAACCTGGCTTATTTAATTACTATTGAAAGTCTTTTGCAGATCTGGCCATAGTGTTTTCTATACTTAATAAGCAAGCAAAACGATTAAAAGCCAAAGCAGTTTAATGTAATTTATTTGAATGCTTCCAGAAAAGTTTAAGGCCTTTATACATAAGTATTTAATCAATACATACCTTCTTTTTCCATAACTCAACACTACATGCTTTTTCTGTAGCGCTTTGGCTAACAGCTGTCATACCAATGGTTCACAACCTAAAGTATTTTTACTTCTTTTTCCTTCTGTAAAATATTCCCTTCTCCTTGTTCTACTCTTCTTCATTGGTATTTTCTATCTTTCAACTCTAAAAAACGAAGCAGCTTAAATAAATTACAGGCCTGCAATAAAAAAATCACCATGTTTTAAAAACTATAAATACAGAAATATGTTCTAAAGGGTAAAATTGACCACAATATTTTTGGAAAAATAAAGTAATATACCTTGTTTTTATATAGTTTATCTTGTCACACTGATTCCTTTAATGTATATGTCATGACATATGTACAAAGTAAATGACATTTTACTTACTCTTTTCTTTCTGTAAACTTGTAACACACAAGAAATAAATGTTTTTGGCAATAATTTAACAGTTTTACTACTTGTTATGGTATGGCTGTACTTTGCACAGGTCATTTTATATAATATCAAGAATCATTTCACTATTTAGGACACTATTTTACATCCCACTTGATTAACATTTAAAAGATTGGAATTACTTATTTCTTGCACAGGGGAATAAAATATTAACCAACAATTCCTAATACTTGCACAGAGTGTTTTTAAACTGCAGTTTTAAGTGGCTGATCTGCCTTTCATCATAATAAGTAAAGTCAATAATAGTTTAAGTTAAATCATCCACCAGAAAACACAGTGATATTTCCAATTACAGCATGAGATTTAGTGAAGCAAACTTACTAAAAAAACTATAAAGGATGTGATATTTACTAAAGAAAAATAAATTCCCTTTTTAAGTTTCTCTGTCTCCCTTGGGGCATTTATAGGGCAGTGCTTTACAAAATTTGTTATAGTCTTAAAAAATGACCATGGGTAATTGTAAACAGATATTTGCACAAAGTTTACTGGGATATTTTAACCTTCGTGGTGCTTAAAACCAAAGGTAGAGGTTACTGGGATGCAAAAAATTAAAGAGGGCTTATTCACTAATCTATTCTTCCTCTCCTGTTTGGGATAACACAGTTCTAAATGGCACTGGAGGCAAACTACCAACTTTTTATTTACAGATTCAGTGTTAGCAGTTGAGGGGTTTTTTTCAGTTGTTTATTGTATTATTATATGCTCTGATAGTAAACTATGGCACTGCAATGATGATTTTAATTGACCAGACATTAAAACATTGGCTTGATGGATCTTAGAACAGTGCTTCATGTTTGTTTTTTGTATCAAACCCTGAAGTGTTTTCCTTTTTAATTAAACCCTAAAAAGTCACTGGTGACATGGCCTACTCTTTACACTTCCTGTTGATTCAATACCACAATAGCTAACCTAGTTTATTCCAATAAATTTTTGTAGACAGAGC